CAGCAGGAAAGGTTAGTCATTGCCTTGCATTCTTATACGCTGTTACCAGCTTTCACATGGTTTTTCTGGGCCTTTCTAGGCAGGTCTGATCTCTCTTACTGGCTTCTCACATTCCCTCGTTATAGAGTGATCATGCTGTAGTGATAAGCTCTGCAGAAGCTCCTCTAAATACATGCATTAAGTATTGAGGCAGCTCTCTGGCACTTGTTGCACATTCATCAGACTAAATCAGAAACAAAGCTGAAATCCTTTCCAAAAGGTAGAGGCTGAGGAAGCTTCCTTAAAAAGTGAAATACAAGACTTAAACTGGCTGTCTGAAGGTAACAAGTTCTGTACTAGTATTACTCAAATGAGTATGAAATCAGTGCAACTTAGCAACGGACTAGGATGTGCAGAAATATGCTGTAATCCCTCTGACTTCCTCATGAGGGGAGGACCACAATATAGGGAGAAATGATGTGGGACTAAATTAATAACCTTTGTGTTGACTCCGTGAGACAGTGCCAGCTTTCTCAGCCACGAAACGTGGGAATCCCAGGTTTAAGGTTGATCCCGTGAACTTCGTAAATGGCCTCATAGCCTGCTGACGCAGGGCAGCATAAATAAATGGGGTAAGCAAGAGCTAATTACATCCCATAAAACATCTCTCCTCTTGAATCTGCTTCTGGATGAGCCATTTTCTCCCGTGGCTAACTGAATGGCTCTTCACTTAAATTTTAATGCAGCCTCCAATGTGGGTTGTAAGAGTTACTTTTTTGATTTTCCTGGAAGAGGAATTGGACGCTGACTCTAGCAAGTTAGTTTGTCAGAGTGGATTGGTGTATGGTGTGTTGCCTAATGGCATGGTCATATTCTTTATGCCTACGGTAGGAATTGTGCAAGAGTCAGAAGCTGGTGGTAGATCTCTTGATGCCAGTCAAGAGGAGATGTTTGGCAGACAGCCTCTCCCTAGCAAGCAGAAGCACACATTTCTGTGGCCAGCTCTGCAAACACCTTCCCCCCAGAAACTGTTCATTTAGAGCACCAAGAGGTGAGGGAAGTGTTACAAAGTTGCTGTCTACTGCCCCCAGGCCATTTGTAAGCAATAAAAGCAATTTAGAATTCAGCTAACTTGAAC